AAAAAAAAAAAAAAAAAAAAAAAAAAAACAAAAATCAGAAAAAGCTCGGACTTTTCCCGACAATGGATCTTTTAGACAATTTTCTTGAGGGATTAAAGTCCGATTAAAAAAAATATCAAAAAGTTTTTTTTAGGATAGTTAGGTAGTATCCAAGGGTGTAGATCGAACCGGATACTTTGTTGTTTTAGGAGTAGGATAGGAAGAAGCTGAGTTGCTCTGAGGTACCTAGTGACGTGTTTGGTGCCGGCACATTAGGCTATGGCATGCGTTATGTCTTTCCGTACATTTGATTTGAATTGTAATTCCTGAGTAAAATAAATAGCCTATTCTATGACGCCTTTTCTCAGTTGTTTGACTTGTATGTCACATAGTGCAATATTGCTTACAATTTCTCAATTATATGTGCTTGCTTGACTTGAAAGTTGAACGGAACCATTTTGATTAAGTCGTGTGCAATGTGTATGTGAGAATTTGTGATTTTTTGTGCTATCTTGTGTAGTCTAGAACTATCCTCGTGTATTAATCGAAGCGAAATCAGTAAGTTGTGCTAGTCTAGGAGATGACGTAGGCGTTTCTTGCTTGATCATAGATATGCTTGTCACTTAAAAATAAAATTTCTGTTTCTAGTCCCTTTGAGTCTATAGACCTTTTCTTTGGCACCCACATTACAAGTCGTACCCCTATTTTGTTCTTAATTTGGGACTGTTGAACCTTTACCTCCTAAGGCACTTAGTCGCTAAAAGAAGTAAGGTGAGAGATTGGGGAGTAGCTTTCGATTGGAACCATGGAAGGGCCGCTTGGTGCAATAAAGTTAAAAAAAGTTCACCAGCCGATGAACCTTAATGTATAGAGTGTGTGTAGAAAAGAAACAAAAGAGAAAAAGAAAAAATTGCAAGAAAAAAAATGATAGTCAAATAATGTAAAAAAACACACACTTCCTAATCTTACTAATTTGTGCTAGTGGGAGTATAAAAGTGCTTAATGAAAAAGAGCCATGTCCTATATGGTATATGGTTTGTGGCGAGTGAATTAGTTGAGAAGAATATATGCTCGATTTGTGAGTGTAGTATATTAAAGTGCTTAGGAGGATTAGTCACTATTCTTAAATGTATCTTACTCATCCCTTATCCTACATTACAACCTTAAAGTCCTAATTGATCCTAGATTTGTCTAGCTTAGATTAGTATAGATGTACACTACGGGAAAGCTTATGATACGACTACGGGATGCACATGAATTCTTTGTGAGAGTGATCGAACTTTGCTCAATTGTGTGATGTCCTTAATTTATATTCAAAAGCATACTTGAATGTGTGGACTATTCTATATGCATTCTTTTATTTGTTGGTGAGGGAACATGATCTCATGAAGGATTGGTAATATTGTAAATGTCTCTTGTTGGGTAAGTGCGCGAGTTGAGAGCGCTTAGTAGTAACGAGTCAGCTTTTGAGGTAGGGTGATTACGGATAAGTTGTTTGAATTGATTGAATTGAAATGGATATAGTTGGACATGTTTAGAACTAGAAGAATGTGAATTTTTTATGTTCATGCTTAATTGCCGGTATCGATCATAGTCAAGGGTAGAGTGTATGGTTAAAAAGAAATTGAAGTGCTCCTCTCTAGTTGATATTTGTACGTAGTTGGGATATAGTTGATAGTCCCATTGCTAGAGGAAGAGCAAGAGTCTAAATGTAGGGTGTTGATATTTATCTTAAAGTATATATATTTATATGTATATCGCCTCATGTTTTACTCGTGTTTCGTAGACTTCGGATGTAAAATGTATTGATTTATATTAATTCGTGGTGATTTTATGTGTAGGCATCATTCAGAAGCAAGTGGGAGTGAAAGGTGCGAGATTAGACCCAAAATGGAGGAAAAATGGGAAATATTGAATTCCAGCGCCATAGGCAGCGTCCCACACCACCTGTGGCGCCGTGGACAGAATGTTCAATTTGCTAGTGCCAGGGCCAGCGCTCCACGCTGCCCTTAACGCTGGTGATGGAAATTTCTCCAACTTTGTCCGGGACAAGGTTATTTCGGCCCTAAACCTATCCAACACATATAAAAGCAAGACTAAGCCTATTTTGAGAGGGGGACGCCACTTTGAAGGGAAAATACACACAAGAAATATCGGGGAGCGAGGATATCTCAGTTTTCTGCATCTTTTCTTAGTATTTTCAATTATCCAACACTTATGAAATTATTTGATACTATCATGAGTGGCTAAAACCCATAGTTCTGGGGTTGTGATTTAGCCATTATTATTGTTGTTTAACGTTGACTTAACCTTAATTATAATTCACCAATATATGATTGTTTTTTTAATTCTGTGATTAATTGCTTAATTGTTTGGCCAGCAGTTAGATTCTATTTACTATCTATGCTATGCTTGGGAAAGTCATGTTTAGATTAGAGAAGAATTGAAGAGAGCATGATCTTAACTCTAGGGGGGGCGGATTTATGGTTATGATAGGAATATACCTAGTCGCCGTGCTTAATTAAATATTATAATTTTAATGCATTCTTAATAGATTGATTTCATAGGAATATAGACGTTAATCTATTTTGAATAGGCTAGTAGTATTTCGGGAGAATGATACGAGAGCAATTGTTCGATTAATTACACTAGTAAGAAATCAAGTTTTAGCGACGAACAAATTCGGTAGCTAAACAGAAAAATCCGTTGCTAATCTCATTTAGCTACGGATTAGCAACGGATTATCAAAAAATTATGCTAGCTACGAGTGTTTTAGCGACAGATTAGCGACGACATTCGTAGCTAATTCCAATTTTTTTTGGTAGTGTTAGTAACAATGAGTGAATTATATGAAAGGGAGAGTTAATTAGAACACAATAGGATTGGTGAATCGATCACAACCCTGGAATATTTATCTCTACTGAATACACAACAATCATTTTGATGTTTGATAATTTAGTTACTAGTTAGAATTATTGTTTGGTATAATCACACTTTTGAACTCAAATTGGCTCGACTGAATAACAATCTTGGTGAATTTAGTTGGTAGTTAATACAAGTCTCTGTGGGTTTGACACTCGACTTATCATTTTATTACTTGAATGACCATGTATACTTGCGTGTGCGTTTTGGAGCAATCGCTGGAATTGTAGTAGGACACTTGTACAAGCATATACGTAGTTAAATCCTGACGCCATTAACCATTATACGTACTCTTGTCTACTTGCCTATTGTGTGAGGAATGCTCTATTGGCATGTGAGTCGTCCGTGCGGATATAAGTTGTAATGTGGGCACAAGATGCCAAGTGATCAGGGTTCAAGAATTGGGACCCGTGATCTGTGATTATGAGGTTCGGTACCTCGTGGAAATGCTTGAATAAATATGGTATGACAGCGGTTGTTCTTATTGAGTTGTTACTTATTTTTTCTTTATTTTGATTTCACTGGACTTAGACTGTGTCCAGCTTACTCTACTGCATTATTACCTGACTGCTTCCTATTAAATATTATTGTTATCGGTGTCTCGTTACAAGTATTGTTTGGTATTCCTTATCCTGCTTAGTTGTATATTAATATTGTTTTTCTCTGTTAATTCACCTTCACATTTGTTCTGGTAATTTAGTCTGGTATGTGTCTTGAGTGTCCCTCATCACTACTCCACCGAAGTTAGTCTTGATACTTACTGGGTACCGCTGTGGTGTACTCATACTATGCTTCTGCACATTTTTTGTGCAGATCCGGGTGCCACGGTTGTTGATTATGAGCTGGTTGGTCAAGCTGTGGAGACTCAAGGTAAATCTGCCATCGCGTTCGCTGGCCTCAGAGTCACCTTTTAATATTTTTATTGTACTGTTAAATTCTATCCCGAATAGTTACATTAAGGGATTATTTTTTTCTAGCAAACTTAGTAGAGTTTATAACTTGTACTACTGGTTTTGAAAATTGTAATTGTATATAAGATTTTTATTTCGTATTTATCATTCGATGGTTGAATTCTTCTATTTATTTAGTAAGTATTTGACTTACCTAGTCTTAGAGATTAGGTGTCGTCACGACATCCTACGGAGGAAAATTAGGGTCGTGACATGTTAAGTCCTATAAAAGTATGTATGTTATTGCATTCTATTTTTACTAGTGACTTTTACATGACAGTTAAAAAATTACCGAAAATAAACCGAACTGTACCGATACCGAAGAGAAATCGACATGATTGAAACAGTTTCGAAAAGTCGAATTTTAATTATACATAATAGAATAACCGAAAAATTAGTATGATACAAATTTTATAAAATAATCGGTCGAACCAAACCATTGACATCCCTAGTTGTGGTCATGGTAATGGCTAAGGACAAGTATCTAAACCTTGAAACTAACAAAGTCCAAAACTAAAACAGAATTTAGCTCTAGGCCATGTGATGTTAATTAAGTTCATATAACTAAAATTCGAGAATAAATAATTAAACTGCGACAACAACAAAGATAACAACATACTCAATATGATCCCATAAACTAAAGAGTGTGAGGTGTACGCAAACATTATCCCTATCTTTATAGGGTAGAAAGACTATTTTAGATAGACCCTCGTCCCAAGAAAAATTAAATTGCGACAGGAAGAGTAAATTATTTTGCAGTATATAATTTCATTCTCTCGCAAGTATATTCCTTCCAAAAAACCTTAAAACCAATATCCTAAAATTCAACCATTGAAATAAACTTCTCAATAAAATTAATGTATTGGTAAAAAATAACTCTATCTGTAGCCAGAAAACCAAGAATTGAGCTGTGAACTTCTGGGTGAAATTTGATTGAGCATTGTAAGAAATGAACTCGAATTTCCCTCCATTAATGGCGTATCATTGCCATTTTCATATTCATTTTTGGCCATTTTCATGTCATTTTCAAAAAGCTCATCAAAATTAGAACCTACTCTTAAAGCTCCTATACTTGGATTTTGGTCGAAATAATTCATTGATGAAGCTGGCAATATCGAAGTTGAACCTGTTGTGTCCTCAATAGAATCCTCCTTGTCCATTTCCATTATTGTACTTGAACTGTTTTTCTTGTAAATCCGACACAATACCCAATCATCAAGCTACACAAAATAAATAAATTAATAAATTAATAAAACATCATGAAATTATATTAATATAAGCCGACAAAAAAAATTAATTTATTGAGACTTAGGTATCGAGAAACTAGGGCAGAGCTACAACAATCAATGGATTAACAGTTAAACATCTTCCGGGAAAAATTATACTATGTATATAAGTTCTACGGATTCTAAGGTTCTACGGTGTAGTGGTTAGCACTCTGGACTTTGAAGCCAGCGACATGGGTTCCCAGTAGGACCTTCACTATTTTTGTGCCCCTTCCTTTTTTCTTTCTTGAGCCGAGGGTCTACCATAAATAGTCTTTTTACCTTCTTAAATGCAAGGGTAAGGTTTGCGTACACTCTACCCTTCTCAGACCCTACTTATGAAACTATACACCTTATTGTTGTAAAACTTAATAGTCTATACTTTTTTTGATTTTATTTTCTCTCTTTTATTTGTTTTTGAAATGAGAAAGTTACCTTACCCGTAAAGAGCATTTCTTGGTTAGAGAAGAATTATTATCAACAAGGCGATATTCATGCATGACCCAATTGGATTTCATTCCTTTAAGAGGCTTTCCCCGGTAGAAAATAAGTGTCTTTTTCACACCAATCTTTTTAGTACCATTGCTTGTAAATATTGGCTTGTCTGTTCCAGTAGCCTTCCAATAACCTGAAGTTGCCGCCCGATTAGGCCTCGCCCCGTTCGGATACTTTCTATCTCTCGGACTAAAAAAATACCATTCTTGCTCCCCAAAATTTGCCTTACCTACAAATATAATCAAAAACTTTCATATGTATGATCCTATTCCCTTTAAAAAGGAAAGCATTTCACATAAAATGAAACGAAAAGAAAGCAATAGTTACTTGGTAATTCCCATGGATCGAATTTGTAAAGATGAACCTCAGCTATGATTGTGACCGACAAAGGAGCGGAAGCTACCTTTTTCTCGAGGTAATGAACCACGAGCTCCTCGTCGGTCGGGTGGAACCGAAACCCCGGTGGAAGTTGAAGGTGGTTCGAACCGGACATCAAACCGGTGCTCTCCATTTTTTTTATACAATATCTACACAAAATTTTGTAAGTTTTGGGACAATTTGAATGTTACATAGAGAAATCATGAACAAAATTGACATTAGTAGAATGAACTATATGGCATATGAGGAAGAATATATACTAGGGATGGTCCAAGGTAACTAACTTCTTACTTCCACCAATCGTAATGCGACACATCGCGTACCGGTGACGAATCGGATTAGGCCACAACAGCTGGAAGTGATGTTTGTATGGACCAAATGTTTGTATGGACCAAATATACAACAAAAAAATGGAACTAACACCAACATGCTTTCGATGTCATGTTTTTTTTTTTAAAAAAATGTAACAGACGAAATCCCCTTTCGTGACCTTCCCCAACAAAACTTCCAACAAATTTATTTTTTTTTAACTTCTTTCTCCATTAAATCAAGGAGTCGTCTTTTTTAGTTAATTTTTATATATTTTTTCAAAATTGTGGTAGGGGGAGAAGGCGGGTGTTTGGCCGTTGTCAACCCCAATGCAGCATTTATTGGTTTGTATTTTTTTTTTTTTTATAATAATGGTGTTTGGATCAATTTTAAATATTTCAATTATTTCTTCGGATATATGCTATCTTACATCAACACAACTATCGACAATGACAAAGCCTTGATTTCAAGAGAATGAGTGATTACTACCTAGTACCTAATATACTTCATCCGTCTCAAAATATATGTCGTGTTTCTTTTTTATATGTCTATTAAGAAATATTAATAAGGAGAGGTTTTAGACTATTTTGCCCTTATTTATGTCTTAAGATATAATATCTATTAATTGAATATTTACTCTATTTATCTATCTTCATTTTCTAGAACAATTGCTATTAAGGGTAAGATAGGAAAAATATAATTTATTATCTTGAACTTTTAAAATAACAAATAATTTTGAGACAACTATTTTTAAAAATCATTAAAGATATTTTGAGACGGAGGGAGTAACTGCTAGAGCCAACGACCACTAGGAATTTGTTTTAAATATAAATGTTTGAAGGCCGCCGCAAATTATACTATTATGTTATAAAATCATCATTAATATAAAATTTCCCAAAACTTTATACTTTCTTTTTAAATTTAAGAGAAAATGCATAAAGATTCCATTCAACTTGTCCTAAACATCATTTACACACTTAAACTTTACGGGTGTCCTAATACCCCACTATTATTAAAATAATTGTATTTATTTACTCCCTCCTAAGCCCTGGCCCAACTATAATAACTTGAGTGGAAACACGCACTTTGATTATGAAGCCACGTAATTAAAATATTCAGTAAATTAAAATATAAGCCTTCCACTATTACTAACACTCCTCGTTAGTTAAAAATTCCCTAATTGAAGAACCCTAATGCCCAACCTTCAAAGATTCGATTTGCCTCACCAAAATCGATTTGCATGACCAAAATCAAAGGGACCTGTTGCAAAATCCTTTGATTTCATTGTTCTTTAGGGTTATGTTTGTTGTTATTGTTTCATTTGACGAGTTGGTGGAAGACCCGTTCGAAGCTGAAGGTCTTTGAAGAATCAAGTTCAAATGATTTTCTCTGTTTTAGTTTGGAGGTAAATCCATCAACCCTAGCCTTTTCTATCAGCAACCTTAAACGTTATCTTTGTTTTAGTTTGTTTAATATCATCCGTAACTAGGGTTTTGAACTTGCTTCAAATTTCTTCACTGTATCTTTTTCAATGTAAAATTGAGTAACAGAAATACAATTTTTAAGGTGTAATAATAACCAAATTTCAATTTTTTCTTGTTGCATGGGTTGTCACTTGTAAGGATCAGGTCTAATAGTAACTATTAATCCTTAATTAGTTTATTTTCTACTATATTAAGGTATTTCAATGTCTTTTGTACTTGTTATACTGAGGTTTTTCCATGGCGAAAAAATCTCCATGGATAAGTTACATTCCTTTGCAATGGAGGATTATGTTGGTGGGATGATTAGTGATTGTGTTGATGTCGATGTTGATAGGTTCTCATATTTTGAGTTTTTAGGTTATGTGAAAGAGTTTGGGTACAATAGTTTTTCTGCTTTTATTTATGTTAGACCGCCTAATTGTCCCAGTTTAGTAGTAATTAAGGTTAATAGGGACCTTATGGGTATTTGTGAAGAGTTAAAAAGTAGGAATATTTTGGAGGTATATGTAGATCACATGGTTGATGATGTTGTAGTGTTCCCCTCCCCCCTCCAAATTAGAATATGGCAGCCAAGTGGGGGTGATAGTAATGTTACTTTTGAGAAGGAATATGGTCAAGATTTGGGGGGCTGTGAGGGTTTGGAAACTTTTGAAAAGGCATCCAATGCTGCTGAAAATTAGTGCCAATAATAGTGTGCATGCAGCTGTTACTACTGATGATAGTTCAAACTCCTCATCTGAATCTAGCAGCAGCACTGATAATAGCTCAGATTCAGAGCATGAGGAATTATTTGAAGAAGGAGAAGCTGATTATGGCAGTGATACACATGAGGAGTACAAGGCATTTAGGGCAGAAAGAAGGACTGTAGAGAGAAGGAAGAGGAAAGAAAGTGCTCCTAAACAAGAACATGTTAAACTAGGTAAGAGAAGGATGTGGGGTATGATGAATATGAATCTAGGAAGAAGAAGAATTTAGAAGGTAAGATAGGTGGTGATGAGCCTTATTACTATTCAGATAAAGTTACTAGCTTTGAGACAGATCCAGATGATGTTGATGATAAAGGTGAAGGGGAGGTTCAACAAAAAGTTAAAGCTAGAAGAAGAAAGACTAAAAGAAGAGTAATCTTTGACAAGACGTGCAAGAAAATAGTTAGGGAAACTGGACTTATATTTGCAAGTGTGAGAGATTTCAGAGAAGTCGTAACTAAATATGTTGTTCAACAAAAGGTTTTTATAGAAGAGTATGTAAATGAACCTACAAGGGTGAGGGTTAAGTGCAAGAAGGTATATGGTCCTTGGCTTCTAGTTGCTAGTTATGATTCTAGGACTAAGGATTTTGTAGTCAAGAACTACAATCCAGTTCACAAATATGACCCTACTAACAGAAACAAGCTATGTAATTCAAAGTTCTTGGCCAAAAGGTTCAATGAGAGGATAAAAGAACAACTTAACATTAGAATATTCAAGTTTCAGGAGTTTATTAGAAAGAAATTGGGATTGTATGTTGGGAGGACAGTTTATAGGAGGGTAAGAAATATTATGTTGAATGAGATAATGGATGATCATAAACTGGAGTATGGCAGAATATTAGATTATAGGGATGAGTTTCTTAGATCTAATCCAGGGAGTACATGTGTAGTGAAGCTTAGTGATGAAACTTTTGAAGGTAGGAAGAAAATGTTTGTTGGGTTCTATATTTGTTTTGATGCAATGAAGAAGTCATACTTGGCTGGTTGTAGGCCATGCATTGGGTTGGATGGATGTTTTCTGAAAGGGATATGTAGAGGCCAACTACTTGTAGCAGTTTGCTAAGATGGAAATAATCAGATGCTTCCACTTGCTTGGGCTGTTGTTGAGATTGAAAATATGCACAATTGGAGGTGGTTTGTCAACCTTTTAAGATGATCTTCAGGTTGGAGATGGTACAAATCTGACCATTATAACAAACATGCAAAAGGTAAGCAGTTGTAGTTTATTGTTATTTTTCTACTGCTATTTAACTTAAAACTAACTATCATTGTTCATTTTGCAGGGACTTGAGAATGCTATAACAAATCTACTTCCAAATACTGAGCATAGGATGTGTGCAAGGCACATCCTAGCTAACTGGTCAAAGAAATGGAGGGGCATAGAGAGAAGGAACTGCTTCTGGAGGTGTACAAGGTCTACCTATGAGTGGGAGTTAAAGAAAAATCTGGATGAAATAAAGAAATTGGGTAATAAGATAGTTGATGAACTGTTGTACTACAACATAGAAAGATGGAGCATGATGTATTTCAACACATTCTGCAAGTGTGACAGTGTTGACAATAATATGGCAAAATATTTCAATGCTTGGATTTTGGCAGCAAGGTAGAAGACTATAGTGACAATGCTTGAAGAAATAAGGGTGAAGATGATGAATAGAATAGGTCAACTCATGCACTTTGGAAACACTTGGATTACATATTTTTCACCAATGGCTATGAAAGTCTTAGAAGAGAACACAGAAAGGTCAATAAAATGTAACATTTCCTGGAATGGTGAGTTTGGATTTGAAGTGAAGCAAGGATCAGGTATAAGTGAAGTGAAGCATCCGGTGGATATCAAAAGGCAAACATGCACCTGTAGAGCTTGGATGTTAAAAGGCAAAACATATGCTCATGCAGTTGCTGCCCTACATTATAAAAATCTGGAGCCTTTGAACTATATTTCTCACTGGTACAATCATGCCACTTACATGAAAACATACAGTTATTTTCTTCAGCCTGTTTTGGATATGAATATGTGGCCAGAGTCACAAAACCCAACTGTTATACCACCTCATGTCAAGAAGATGCCAGGCATGCCAAAGAAGCTTAGAAGAAAAGAGCCAGGTAAAAATAAGACAGAAAAATTGACCAAAAGTGGAGGGGAAATGACATGTAGCAATTGTCATAACAAGGGTCATAACAAGAGGGGGTGTCATAAAGTTGCTGGAAGTAATACTGGTGCTACTTCAACAAGTTCTGTGCCTGCAAGTGTTGGTAGTTCAAAGCCACCAAAGCAAAGTACTGGAAGAGCAAGGGGTAGGCCAAAAGGTTCTAAAGAAAAGGTGAGGGTCTTCCCTTTAATGTCTTCTTTCTCTTTTTTAAATAATTGACAGATTCTTACTTTTAATTGGTTGATGTAGGGTGTTAGTACTAGCAGTGATGTAAGAACACAATATAACAGGCCAAGGATGGTTGGGATGAGAGTTTTACACACTCAAAATGGCTTCAAAATTCAAAATGTAAGTTTTAACACACCCTCTCATATTTAGGTGAATTCATTGCCTAATTTTCTGTTGGATTTTGGCAGCCTGGAATGTCCTCTACGAACTTTAAGAATGTGAGGTATTCAACAGAAGTAATTGGAGATCTAGTCCATCAACCAACACGAGGTGTTAAATAAAAAG